TCAGATATCTTTTATTCATTTGAGACATTGTAATTTCTTTCGATTCGATAACATGCCAAAGAGGTGTAGTGATAATTTTTGATATCAAACCTAGAGCTTTACATCCAGCCAAAAAGAATGGCTCTTTCAAATCAAACAAAACAGAAGAAAGCAGAGCATTTGACTTAGGTGTTTTCAACAAAAAATCTTTCATTTCGTTTTGTAAAAAGTATACATGTCCAGCATTAGTGAATAAGATGTTAAATCTATTTCCTCTTAATGGTTGAAGAGGTACACTTTGCATATTATTTTCTTTTAAGAATGAGTTAATATATGTTTTAAAATTTCCATAGCAGCCATTTTTTTCATCTCCTCTTCTAGCAAAAGATTTACATGCAGTTAAAATTAGCCTAGTAGTTCCAGACTGACCAGATTTTAAAAAAGTTGGATTTTGGATAGGAATTTTATTATCAAAATGCAAAATTTCTACTTCATTTAATGTTTTTTCACATGTTTCAGCCATATTTACTAAAGAATGGAGTCCACAAAAAAAGTTATTCATCCTATCAATTGCTTCTCTTGACTCTTCATTCAGTTCATTGTAATTTTCATATATATCTGGTAAAACCTCTTTTCTGTAGTTTTCTAATAATTCATTAAATTTCATTTCAGAAGCTGCTCTGTCACTCATTGTGTGTTTTTTATATTTGTTAAAATTTTCTTGCCACCTTGACTTTCATCTTCACTTGCTATATTAATATCTGTTAAGATTTCTTTGAAAGTATCTAATGTGTCTTGACTTGATTTTGTTGCCATATTTCTTAATCCTAACAATTTATAATTGCCACTATTATCTCTTGTGGCAAAAGCCCCCCACCTACTTCCATATTTTGATGTTTCGTCTGAGTGTAAAGTTGTATTTTGTTCTTCACATACACTTGACAATTGTTTCTTTACCAAAATTCCTCTTTCAATGTTCCAATTATTAATTGTGCTTGGACTAGGAAGTTTATTTGGAAAAATGTTCACTAATTTTAATACACTTTCTATAACTTTACTTACATTTTCTGTAGTGACATGACTATTCAATAGGCTATAAACACATATATGCATTTCTGGTACATATGTTCTTGTATGTTCATCATAAAATAATCCTTGTTGAATTTTGGAGAGATTTTCATTTTGAAGTTTTAATGAATCAATATTTTCATTTAAATGCCTAATTCTTTCATTGTTTTCTTCATGTAATGTCTTAAGCTTAGTAATTTCATCAAGGAATCTAGTAACATCTTTTTCTGTATACTTTAAGTCATTTTCAGATTGTTCCAGCTTTCTATACTTTTCGCGCCAATAATTTTCTCTACTACATGTCCTTTTCAAATCTTTTTTTTGTAAATTAATTTTTCTAAATTTTTTCTCAATTTTTGAATTCAACTCATTTGTATGTGATACAGATGCATTCAGTTTAAAATTTTCTTCTTTCACTTCTGTCAATTCCTCCATCAGGCTACAAGTTTGTTTTAAAAATAAATAAAAATTAAGGTTTCTTTTTTAAAATAAAATGATCTTTTTAAATAAATTTGGTCATCATTAGTATTAAATTCCAAATTCTTTAACTTTTAAATATAAGTAATATCTGATCAGATTGTTAACTTTTGTTAATGTGAAATATTATTTGAAGTCTTTATACTATTATTTAGGACTGTCAGACATTGATGGAACAATTTGTATTAATATAAGTAGAGCAGTATAATTAAATTTATTGATATCCCAAATTGTGAATCAATATTGACTTAATGAATGCTGAATATTTTTTAATATCTATCAATAAACTGATATTCAAAGACATCCCTATTTATTAAATTTATTACCTTTCCCAAATTTTTAAATGTTTATCACATATAACAAAGCATCACAGTGTTGTTGCAAAATGAAGTGATAAAAAAATGGAGGCACAATTAAAACCCTTTTAATGTATTATTTAATAATGAAAAGAAATAAGCTTTTTAGTAAAGCTACATACTTCACTGCAACTGTTTTGTAAGACATAGCTATCAATTTAGGATCATCACTTGTGGCATGAAAAGGGTCAAGTCTTGGATGTAATACTTCATTCACTTTCTGTTTAGCTGAATCACATTTTCTACTCTCTGACGGCATTTCATACATTTTTTTCAAAAATATTTCTAGATTATTTTCACCTTTCACACGGTGTCTAGATTTTTTTAAGTTCGCATGCTTCTTTATTAAACGTTCAATGTTGTGCCTGATGGTATTTTCAGTTACTTGACATTCAAATGTTTTTTTTAAATATTTAACAGTGTTTATTACACCAATTTTGGTGACACTTTCAAATATATCTCCATTAGTTAATGAATCCATGACCTGAAATTTCAAAACAAGAAATAAAAAAATACTTACTTAATAATATAGTGCACAGTCAAACTCACTGGCAAACAACAACAACTATAACAACTTGTAACTGAAATGAAATTGAAAAAAAACCACAAGAAATATAGAAAAGTGATAAAAGAGGATAATATTAGAAACTTCATTTATAAAACAAAAACATGTTAACTTATGTTACAATGTACTGCATGATCCCATTAATTATTGTTGGCCTTAAGTTACTGTCATTCAGCTAAATGGCTATTATTAATATTGTGAAACACATATATATGGGCAGATCTATTCCTTTTTGTCATGGTGATATCTTTTTAATTATTGTTTATAAACATAGAAATATTAGTGAACAATCATGTTGATTTTAAATTAAATGCATGCACAAGCCCCATATTGACTGTTATGTCATTCTACAGACAGACAGACAAAGAGCAAACACATGACTCCCCATCTTAAACAGGCGACAAATAAAAACTAAGTCATATGCATATTGATAATGTGTGAATGTACATGTATCTAACTTATAAATATCTTGAGAAACATGAATTTATCACACAATGATACAGGTTTTACATAATAAGAGATACAGTAATCTTTCTTCTTTTTTTAAATATAGATTAATGTATTTTTCTGACCATAAAACAGTTCAATTGAAAACACAAGATAACTGTAACAGGTAATATCAAACTATAATCAAGAATCAAAAAATAATTTTCAATTTTATAAAATTTGATAAATAGACTAATATTGATTAGGCTAAACACCTGTCACAATTTTTTTCACTTTGTTTACATATTCATTAGATGTGACATGATTTTTATGCAACCAGAAAAATCTGAAGTCTATTTGTTTACATTGGATTATTTACCGATGAAAATCTTTACTTCCGGTTTCGTTTTTAACCTTTCGCAAGGGAGGTGACATTTATAATGGGGTGTGCGCAGTTATGCGATCGATTAGAATTGGTAAAAAAATACACCATAAGGAAGAGAAATGGTTGAATTGTTAGAAAATCATTGTCCTAGAAACGACATCCGAAATAAACTAGATAAAAATAATGATTGAATGTCATACTATTTATATTTTATGAAAATCAAATGGTTTAAACGCAATGTCAAGGACTGGGGAACCAGTTGGGAAAAACAGATAGCCTGATAACTATTTTTAACTTCATCCGGGTCAGCGTTCTGCCTCAGTAACGCCCGGATGACAACATTAATGACTGACGTAATATTTCAAAATGGCGGAACATTACCGGATATCGGATGGCACATGGATGAAACAAATTTCTTTTTTACAATAAATATCTGTTTTCATATTGAAAGAACACACGGGATAAATAGAGAAATGATATTTGCATCAAAATAGAAAAAGGCATACCTGTATTATGCTTTATCCTTTACAAAATCGTCGTCGAAAATGACCGTGTTTACCCGTTGTACAGAATAGCGACTAATATATTTACGAATACCGTTGTGGTCGCTATTATCATTATATTGTGTTTTCAATTGAACTGTTTTATGGTTTGAACTGTTTTATGATCAGAAAAATACATTTATATTATATGCATTTCATTGGCATCAGTCTTAGAATTTGAAGAGCTATATTTAAAATAAAAGAAAGATTACTATATCTCTTATTATGTAAAAACCTGTACCATTGTGTGATTTATTCATGTTTCTCAAGATATTTATAGTTTTTTAGATACATATGTACTGTCACACATTATCAATATACATATGACTTAGTTTTATTTGTCGCCTGTCTAAGGTGGGGAGTCATGTGTTTGCTCTTTCTCTGTCTGTCTGTAGAATGACATAACAGTCAATATGGGGCTTCTGTGGCTTGTGCATGCATTCAATTCAAAATCAACATGATTGTTCACTAATATTTTTATGTTTATAAACAATAATTAAAAAGATATCACCATGACAAAAGGGAATAGATCCGCCCATATATATGTATTGCAAGATATTTAGCCATTTAGCTGAATAACAGTAACTTAAGGCCTACAATAATGGTTGGGATCATGTACATTGTAACATAAGTTAACCATTTTTTGTTATAGAAATGAAGTACCTAATATCCTCTTTTATCACTTTTCTATATTTGTTGTGTTATTTTTTTCAATTTCATTTCAGTTACAAGTTGTTATAGTTGTTGTTGTTTGCCAGTGTGTTTGACTGTGCACTATATTCTTAAGTAAGTATTTTTTTTATTTCTTGTTTTGAAATTTCAGGTCATGGATTCATTAACTAATGGAGATATATTTGAAAGTGTCACCAAAATTGGTGTAATAAACACTGTTAAGTATTTAAAAAAAACATTTGAATGTCAAGTGACTGAAAATACCATCAGGCATAACATTGAACGTTTAATAAAGAAGCATGCCAACTTAAAAAAATCTAGACACCGTGTGAAAGGTGAAAATAATCTAGAAATATTTTTGAAAAAAATGTATGAAATGCCGTCAGAGAGTAGAAAATGTGATTCAGCTAAACAGAAAGTGAATGAAGTTTTACATCCAAGACTTGACCCTTTTCATGCCACAAGTGATGATCCTAAATTGATAGCTATGTCTTACAAAACAGTTGCAGTGAAGTATGTAGCTTTACTAAAAAGCTTATTTCTTTTCATTATTATATATTAAAAGGGTTTTAATTGTGCTTCCATTTTTTTATCACTTCATTTTGCAACACTGTGATGCTTTTTTATATGTAATAAACATTTAAAAATTTTGGAAAGGTAACAAATTTAATAAATACATGTAGTGTTGTCTTTGAATATCAGTTTATTGATAGATATTAACAGATATTCAGCATTCATTAAGTCAATATTGATTCACAATTTGGGATATCAATAAATTTAGTTATACTGCTCTACTTATATTAATACAAATTGTCATCAAAGTCTGACAGTCCTAAATAATAGTATAAAGACTTTAAATAATATTTCACATTAACAAAAGTTAACAATCTGATCAGATATTACTTATATTTACAAGTTAAAGAATTGGGAATTTAATACTAACAGTGACCAAATTTATTTAAAAAGATCATGTTACATTTTATTTAAAAAAAGAAACCTCAATTTTTATTTATTTTTAAAACAAACTTGTAGCCTGATGGAGGAATTGACAGAAGTGAAAGAAGAAAATTTTAAACTGAATGCATCTGTATCACATACAAATGAGTTGAATTCAAAAGTTGAGAAAAAAGTTAAAAAAATTAATTTACAAAAAAAAGATTTGAAAAGGACATGTAGTAGAGAAAATTATTGGCGTGAAAAGTATAGAAAGCTGGAACAATCTGAAAATGACTTAAAATATACAGAAAAAGATGTTACTAGATTCCTTGATGAAATTACTAGGCTTAAGACATTACATGAAGAAAACAATGAAAGAATTAGGCATTTAAATGAAAATATTGATTCATTAAAACTTCAAAATGAAAATCTTTCCAAAATTCAACAAGGATTATTTTATGATGAACATACAAGAACATATGTACCCGAAATGCATATATGTGTTTATAGCCTATTGAATAGTCATGTCACTACAGAAAATGTAAGTAAAGTTATAGAAAGTGTATTAAAATTAGTGAACATTTTTCCAAATAAACTTCCTTGTCCAAGCACAATTAATAATTGGAACATTGAAAGAGGAATTTTGGTAAAGAAACAATTGTCAAGTGTATGTGAAGAGCAAAATACAACTTTACACTCAGACGAAACATCAAAATATGGAAGTAGGTGGGGGGCTTTTGCCACAAGAGATGACAGTGGCAATTATAAATTGTTAGGATTAAGAAATATGGCAACAAAATCAAGTCAAGACACATTAGATACTTTCAAAGAAATCTTAACAGATATTAATATAGCAAGTGAAGATGAAAGTCAAGGTGGCAAGAAAATTTTAACAAATATAAAAAACACAATGAGTGACAGAGCAGCTTCTGAAATGAAATTTAATGAATTATTAGAAAACTACAGAAAAGAGGTTTTACCAGACATATATGAAAATTACAATGAACTAAATGAAGAGTCAAGAGAAGCAATTGATAGGATGAATAACTTTTTTTGTGGACTTCATTCTTTAGTTAATATGGCTGAAACATGTGAAAAAACATTAAATGAAGTAGAAATTTTGCATTTTGATAATAAAATTCCTATCCAAAATCCAACTTTTTTAAAATCTGGTCAGTCTGGAACTACTAGGCTTATTTTAACTGCATGTAAATCTTTTGCTAGAAGAGGAGATGAAAAAAATGGTTGCTATGGAAATTTTAAAACATATATTAACTCATTCTTAAAAGAAAATAATATGCAACGTGTACCTCTTCAACCATTAAGAGGAAATAGATTTAACATCTTATTCACTAATGCTGGACATGTATACTTTTTACAAAACGAAATGAAAGATTTTTTGTTGAAAACACCTAAGTCAAATGCTCTGCTTTCTTCTGTTTTGTTTGATTTGAAAGAGCCATTCTTTTTGGCTGGATGTAAAGCTCTAGGTTTGATATCAAAAATTATCACTACACCTCTTTGGCATGTAATTGAATCGAAAGAAATTACAATGTCTCAAATGAATAAAAGATATCTGACTTTGAAAACATTTTTGCAAGACTGCAGTTTAAATTTAGATGATTTTATTAAAGGAAATATAACACTTTTTGAAGATGTCAATGTGAAAAAAGACAAAGTGTATGAAAGTTTAGTTAAAGAAAGTGAGATAGATGGGCATGTTGAAACTATTCTTTTAGTTATCTTACCTGCATTATTAAAATTAATCACAAAACAGTATAAGGATCATTTACCAGGTGGAATTCATGAGAACTTAAATGAAAGAGAAGTAAGCAGTGTTGATAAACATAATAAATTTCCAGAAAGAGTTTTTTCATATTTAGACCACATATTATCTTACAAACCAAACATAAAAACTTTAGCACTTGAGTCACATATAACTTTTTCTCTAAATAAAACAAATGAATGGTTGAAAGGTCAAGATAACATAAATGATATTATAAAACAGTGTAGAAGAGAGGTCAATTTGGAAAGGCAAAGGTTTAAGGAGAGGGAAATGATACTGGAGAAAAGGAGGATTGAAAAACAGAGAGAAGAATTTAGGAAAAAAGATGAGCTAGAAAGAAAAAGGGTAGAAAAACTTGAAAAAATCACAAATGATATGATGTTTTATGGCCTATGGCAAAGTGAAGAAAGAGTTGAAGCAGAATTAAGAAAAATAGAGACTAGAAAAGGCAAAGAAGAAGCTCTGAAGGTCCAATTACGGTTCAGAAAAGATGTTTTCAATCAGTTGGCTGATTCAAATGTTTTTAATTTTAGTAAGGTTGTAGAAGGAAGAAGACATCTGTTAACTGTTACAGAATTAAAAAATAATGTTTTGAGCTTAATTAACAAAGCAAATGAAGTCCCTGCCCTAACAAATGCTCATTTTTTAGTTGGGAAAAACATTAAGCATAGGTTTTTAATTGAGATTCATGGTGAAAAGGAGGAAAAGTGGTTCAAAGGATATGTGATATCACAGGTAGCAATATATTATAAAACATCTATGTTCTGTTTTATTAAAAAAAAATTATACAAAATGTTAAATTACATAATTATGATCCTTTCTTAAACTTTCTAAACATTTGTGTATTTGCAGGTTCCTGGTTTTGATGAGTGGTTTAATGTAAAGTATGTAGAGGAAAATGATATATATACATGTAAGCTGGCAGAGGAGTTTAATACAGGAGATGTAGAAGTAATTGAGTAAGTAATCCAATTCTGAAAGGATTGTTTTATTCACAACAGGAAAATTATAGCTGTTAAATCAGTAGTTAGCATGTCTTTTGATTGTAAATTATTAAATCATCAGTAAATATATGCTTAATATCTTCAAATATGACTGCTTTAATGATAGTAACAATAAATGTGCAAGTGTTTCACAATGTTAACATTTCCTCTCAGATATTGAAAAAAATTTAAAGTTATTTTTTACATATTTATAATTTTGTAGAAATTTGATTAGTTGAGAAGTGTATATCCTCATAAGGTGAAACCAATTTTTATATTGTTTCAGGAGTCAGATGGCTTGCTGCAATTGTCTGATAAATGAAAGTAGTTTTTCAAGTGAACAATAAAAGAGATCAGAGAACTGTAAGAAGTAATGTTTGTTTTGAGTTACAATGTGTTAGCATTTTGTAACATATACATTGTATATGTTATGAAAAAGTAATGAACTACAACAATCAAAAAAGGATATAACTGAGGAGTTACCTGCCCTTCTGAAATACATATAAATTCTGACAATGAACTCCATAACCAATATTAAGCTTTGACCTATAAAGTCAATTAACCACACAATGGTTTGTTATCTTATTTGTTGCAATTTATCACCTAGGATATACATACTTGTAAAAGCCCTTTGCAAAGACATTTAATTAATTTAATGACTACTACATGTGTATTATTGTTTGTAAGTTAACAATAACAGAATTATGTTTTTACATGTTTGACCTTTGACCTTATCAAATATCCCATTACTTTTGTAATTAATGCTTGTGGTTTTACACATTCCTTTGCCCTGCAATGTAAGATTTGTTTTGCAAAACACTACACTAAGTGATTTTAAGTAAGTGTAAAATGTTTCATGAAAATAACTCATATACCATGGCTTTTGACCTTTGACCTTCAATATGAAATGACATTATAATTGTCATTCAACCTTTCAGCCATCACATTTTCTTGTAAGACAACATAAAAGTACAAGGTAATTTGATATTTATCAATGTAATCTTATAACTGAAGCATGTAAAAAAACAAAGTTTACATTTTGAAAAATCATAAAACCATCTACAATGTATTGTTTATATTCACCCCAAAGTGGTCAAAATGCCTCTGTTTTTAAACTGAAAAATCCGGACATCCAAAAAATATGAATATATTAAACTCTGTAAGTATAGCTGTAGTGGAAAATAATGTAAAAAGTTTAAATTTCAGTTAAATTATAACTGTATGAAACTTAGGCAAAAAATGGCAGAAAAATATGAAAATCTGAAAATTTCAAGGGGAGATAACTCTTGATTTTTTCGATCAATTTGAAAACAGACCATATCATTAAGTTTGTATTGAAATTATCTTTCCAATGATATATAACACTTATTACTCCAATTTATTTCAAATTTTGGCTTGTGGTACCTAACATTGTAGTTAGTTCTAGTAAATTCATTAGAATGCTTGCGAAAGATTATATGTAATTGTAGTTTTTTTTTCAAATCGTAAAGATGTCTTAAAACACAAGAGAAACAAAGAAGCACCCATTTTATTAGAAATAAGGTTACAATCATTTTTACATAAATAACGAGACAACCTTCTACAGCTGCAACACAGTCCTTGAAATCTGGAAAAATTGCAACAAAGTATCTAAATGGTCCATCTGAACAAAACATAGGAATTTAAAAAGCTGCATGTCTCTTGATGAGCTAAAATATTGCAAGAAAATCAAACTTGAGAAAAATAAACACAGATTTTAAGAAAAGGATTCAAAAGTAATAATTAACATGTAATTTGCGATTAATGACTGATTTTGCTGTATTTGTGACCACATTTCTACTGCGTTACTAACGAATTCAAGGCGCTTTTTGCATATTTTGACGTCTTTTCAGAAAGTACCCTCTGATTAGAATTGTTCACATCTTGAAAATGATGTATTAAAATGTTATTGAAGCCTTATTTTGAATGATATCACTAAGCTGACTTTTGTTAAAGTATCTTGGAGCACAATTAACAACTATGCATTTTTCCATCAATGTTTGTTTCCAAGATATTGTAACAAAAATGCATATCTAACTACCTAAACAATGATTCGGTAATGATTCGGCAAATACAAACTCACTCATTTATATAACTTTGATATTAAGTACTTCATACTGACGTTCTACAAAAGAAATCTATAAGATTAACTGATATCCACGTGACCGATTAATCGGATGACAGTATTTTGGCTAACTTCTTAAGTTACAAACTTTAAAGCAACACAAGGGGTCAAAACTACCTCACTTACTGGAGCTTAGAGATGCATAGATACAATTATTCTGACACATTTAGTCGCGTCTTACGATCACGCAGGGTTAAATTGTGTGTACAACACTTCAGCCACAAGGGACTATTCGTGTTTTATGTACGGTTCCTCTTTTCCGAAGTATACGGGAAGGGCCGATGTTTTACTATTCATTGGTAAGCCAATGGTAAGATCCTAGCCAATGTTGTCTGTATGGTGGTCATACATAACTTACTTTGTTTTTTTTTTAAATTTCGTACAATAGCAATTGTTCATAATCATATTGGGGTTAAAAAATCAAAGATATAAAATAAGGACGGAAAGGGCGAGGTTACCCTCGTGAAGTATTACCTCATAAAAAGTTATGTGTTTTAAATGACTTTTTTCTCTTTCTCTCAAATTTGTACAGTTGTAAGATTTTTTTTGAGTATCCCTTCTCGGAACTTAGATTAATTTTGAAGATTTTTTATATCAATTTGATAAACTTTTTGATAATAATCTGAATATATAGTGTTTTTATCAGATGAAAAATAATTTTTAAAATAACATATAGAGGATATTTGTTTAGTTCAGTGTAAGATCGGAATATATTTCACCGAGTGAGCACCAAAGGGTATATTTCACGAGTGGCGCAGCCACGAGTGAAATATGAACTTTTGGTGTTCACAAGGTGAAATATATTTCAATCTTACACTAAACTAAACAAATTTTCTTTTTATTATATGCAAAGAAACGTTTTAAAAAGACATTTAACCTAATACTGAATGAAAAGCGCGCCAAATAACGTGACGTCATTTACGACGTCACGCTATTAAGTTGGTACCCAGTACTGTGCACGCTGGTATTTCACTGAAACAACGTGAGGGGCTTAAATTCAAAACAGTGAAATTATCAAAGTGGTAATTTCACTGTTTCAAACAGTGAAATTACCAGTTTTATATTACTGATATATTTCTATAAACCACCGAAAAGCATGTAATAAAAAAGAATACTTTCAAATGAATGGACAACAATGCATTACTACGAATCGATAAGATAACAATACCATCACAAACGGTAACACATAATTATATCTTCATAAGTATCTGTGATCTATCGCAAATGTAGTATGTTATACAAGAGCTAGCTTATTCAAACCCGCATTTAATGTTGTCAGTCATCAATGTTATTTTACTAATTCTTTACCGCGTTATAAAAGAATTTATAATTATATGTTTTTTATTTTTTGTTCACATGATTATGCCGCTAAAATTCATCTTTCATTATTATCACCAACTTCATCATTATCACGACCGCCACCACTTAAGTCTTTGGCTTCACCATTAATACGACCGCTTTCACTATCGTCTTTGTTGTTGTCATTATAATCTTCATCACCTTCATTATCATTTTCATAATTGTTACACTGTTTATATGCTCGTGAGCACGATATCAATGTATTTAAGTAGTTACTTAAGGTATGAGTCGCCTTATACATAAATACATTCTGAAGAGTGTTTATTATCAGTAAAGATATTGTTTAATCTTGTAACCTGTCAATTGTATACCGACTATACGGCTAGTGCACACGATATTTTAATATTTGATACATTTTCATTAAAGTCCCTGAGATATACGCAGTAAGATTCGTTAAAATTTAAGTTTGTCTATAAATGATTTAAACTGATTGTTATAGTGCAATAGGGTTAACTATGGTTTTGTATAACTTCTGTTTATCCGAGACCGTGTAGATCCGTGTCCTATTATATTTTCAACATATTTTCAACTATGATTGTTTAAATATTGTTGTTTTAATATGCATTGCGCTTATTTTGACAAAATTTATTTTATTTTCAAATATTAAAATCATTCAGAAGAAATATTTTTAACCCAATCGACTTAAAATCACGGTCGTTTAAACTCCGTATAAAGCAAAACTAAATGAGACAAAAAAGTGTTTTATCTCGGTCCTAAATTTTGTCTTTATGTTATCAAGAAATTGACCATTTCTATTAAAATATCCGGCAAATGTGACGAAAGGTACAACAACAACAACATCAACAACCAACAGTATTGTTTCTGTATAAATATAAGGCATTCCTTTACCCTGTTGTGATATAGGCAGACATGCTAACGGTAAAGTTCCAGGTATTGTTATGTTTTAAAACATTAGTTATATTAAGTGGAATCATATATTTAAATGAGTGCTATTAATGTATTTATAATTAACAGGTCAATAAAATTCAACTTAACAGTAAACATTATGTATTGGTTTGAAACACACATTTTTATTCCTTCACTTTGTATTTCCCCTTTTTTCTGAAAAATCTTAAATCAACAAAATATTTGCAATTGTAAAGTGAAAGGAGTAAACAAAGGTAGCTTTACAACTTAAAATTAATATATTTTCAAAATTCTGATTGTAACCTTCATTTATTTATTTTATTTTATTTTTTGGCAAATTTATGCTTTTATCTTACCACTTCTAAAGTTGGATTAATATAAAATAAACAATGTATATTTGCATTGATGAAATCATATTTGCAGTTTTATTTTCAATATAAATGCCACAAAAGGTTAAATGCTTTTAAATTTATTATTTTTTCAAACTAGACGATAAACCTTTTATTTATTATGTGTGTAATTGTCAATATAACATTTAAAGATGTAATGTTTTTGAAGCATTTTCTAGTGAAACATTACTGTAACAGTCCTCTGTATACTTATATTAAATTTAAATCATATCAACAGCTTTTTAAATAAATTAAAAGACCTGCTAGTATTATTTGAATTATAAAAAGTAGGAACACTTTCCATGATAAACAGATTAATCCTTAACAAGGTGAATGCTACAATTACATGAAGACATGTAGTGAAAGTGACAAATTACAAATAAATAAATTTCATTTAACTGTTGTATGATCTTAGAATACAAACACAAACACTTTAATCGAAAGTACACGCAGGTTTACATTCATGGAGAAGAAAACATGCATTTAAAGATAAATTTAGGCGGCAAAGTGACTTCGCACGTTTTTAATGTATGTGACTCAGGGCGAAATGAAAAATCTGTTGACATCGCACAAGCACGTGACAATTATAGTTAAATGTTTTTATTAAATTCGATAATGCAGATAACTTAACACAGAATTATTAATATATATATGTACATTTTTTATGCAAGAATAGCGCTAATATACAAGTATCATTATCTGCACAAGTCTTTGGATTCATAATATCCTTCGCCCTCTGGGATTGTGCTTAAAATACGTCTTCATGGTTCTGCAGATATTTATGCACGATCAAAGTTCATAAAGTCCCTATTAATAGGTCACTGACCTGGTTTGAGTTATTTACATTTGAATTAGAAAATGGTGCTTATTTAAAGGAAGATAACCCTGAATTAATGTCAGCATGACCTTACATGTAGAATACTGCCTTTGGAGCGATTTTGCAAATAAGATTTTAAAAAGCGTGTTTTATTTTGTTTTCTTTACGTAAACCATAATCTACTGTGTATTATCAGTCGAATATTTTACAACCGTCCGTTTTTTTCATGTTAACGGATGGTTATAAAACACCTGACGTTTAAATATTTCTAGTCAATCGATCGTTTGAACCAATGTGATCGTAGTGAGTTTAGTAACCTCCATCTGTCTTCAGATGACAAAATCATACATCTTCATTCGATAAAGCAATCGTGTGAATACCGGTAAAATTTTCTCTAATCTGCCAGCCTACCTTTCTGACCCATTTGTAAAGAATGTTCAGTCTGTTATTACATTTATTATATAAATGGATTTTCATGAAAGTTTCTATTGCTACCAAGGATTATATGAAAACATGAAATTACATAAGGTGTGTCTAACTAATGTAAAAGGTTTTAGCAATCTAATTGACCTTGAATAGATTTTGATTAACTTCAATGATAAAGATGGAAATTATAATGATATGGAAAGTTCACACCAAATAATGTACACAGCTTTGTACTCTCAACATCTTTCATTGTGCAGCGTACTCTTTTGTACTCTAGAATGTTTTATTTTAACAAGCTGTTTGAACATCATTTGAAATATAATCAATGCCAAATTGATGCCCCGATTTTTTGTTTTGTTTACATCAGATAAAGAGACTTGGATAAGAGTTTTTTATGCCCGAATGTGTAACACATAATATGAAACACTCCAAATGGAAAACTGAACGCAGCCATTATATCATAAACAGGCAACGCCGACACAAGCCATTCAATTCTACATGCTTACATTTATAAGAAATGATGATGATAATAATAATAGAAATAATGATAATAATAATGATAATGTTAAACTAAAAGGATGGAACAGCTTAACATAGAAATGAATAAATGAATATTGATTGACAAAACATCGAAATATCAAAATAGCTAAAATTGCTTGATTCAAGCATCAGCTAGCTTAGGATAATTATTTTAACACCTTCACAGCCACATTTGAAGCAGATCATGAAAGACTAAACTTCATAACTATTTGTTACTTGCTGATGTTTCTCATTTTCTAGCATGATTTATTAGTTGAAAATCAAATTCAGCTCTTAAGTTCTCGCCTTTGTTCTTAACTTCCATATTATTTTACTGATACCAGCACATTCCCTGCAACAAGTTGGAAAAATAACCATTGTGCGTTCTTATAAAGTCTAGTAAAATCCTTCATTTATTATACCAAAACGTAGCAAATGACATATGAATACACAATATCTCCTTAAAATGAACAAACTTATCGACTAACTATGGAATTCCTATCGCCCAAAACTGCCAATGATGCACAAAGTCCTAAACAAATTGTTTCAGATAGTTACAAAATTGTATCTCGAAGAGCATCCCTTTATTTTCTTTCCACTTACATCCTTATATACATCTCGTAATGTTTCTTTAAATTTAACAGTATTTGTCTTAATATTATAACTGGTTAACAAGTATCCTCAGACAATTGACCTAACTGTTATGATTATTCATGTCTACATTGCTTATTATTGACGTACAAACCAACATGAATGACCATTTTTCAAGCTTAAGGAGGTCCCTGTGAGATAGCAGAAAATATATTCATCCAGTCAATGCCAGTGCTAGACATAGATTTTTTTAACGCTTCAAATGTCGCATTACTTGGATCCTGTTTCACCCACATATTCAGCATAGCCATGGTTTTATCTATCGGTGTAAGCAACCTTTCGTTCATGTCAATGTGATCTAAATTCACTTGAGTTAACCCTAATTGAATTGCCAGTGAGCGGTACTCTTTTCCTATAAGCTGCGCCATTTGATTTCGCTGTTTTTCAGTAGGAACATTGGCCAGAAATTTCCTTGGAAATATCGCCTCTTGGTCTGAAATTAAAAGTAAATAGCACTTATTTGTCAGAGTTTGTTTTAATTCCTATGCCTATTTTTGTCTGTTTATAATGAAGCAACATACATGGCATTTAGTACTAGTCATATGAAGTACTGTAAGCATTAAGTTGATGTAATCGAATTTTAAACAAAGGCCCCTTTGATGTACTTGACACTTATTTGTCTACATGTGATTAAACAAATGCACGAAAGAAAACCTAAGAAAGAAATATGCTTATTTTATATTTTAAAATTAATAAAGTATAAAGTAAGTCAAGTTTGCTGGTTTTAAATGTCACATTACAGTCGAGGTTTTATGCTGCATATTTTGACAGATATAATTCAAACGTCTGACCAAGATGTATACATTTAAAATCATGTTTCTTCTACTTAAAAGGATTGTTAGTTTCGTACCAAGACACATTGGATCCCAGTATTTCATTAACGAAGCTTTCGAAAACACAAGTGGTAAATCATGGTCATCGCATCTTATTTCTTCCTGCAATTCATCAATTCTCCATAGGTGACCAGATTGCTTTGGTAATGAATTTGGACACTTGACAAATATATCGATTTTCCCGAAACCTTTTAAAATGTTTTCTAGATGAATTTGTATAAACGATTTGATTTCAGTACATAGATCAACGTCTGGTTCACTACAAGCTAAGCTGAATTTCGTGACCCATATTTGAACTGTGTCATTAGCAAAACAAACAGTTAAGACATGTTCTTTATCTGCATCGAAAACGCAACATCCACAGAAAATTTGGAGTTTTCCCATTTTTTTGTTAATCGGCCATTTCATTATGCATTCCGCTATCAACGAGTGATATAACTGGACCGGCATGATCTTTGAGGAAGTTGAGAAACAAAGTCTTGAAGTTGATTTGCATTGCCTATTAGTAACAGGAAATTCGAGGACAGCATCCGGTACTTTGGCCTTTAGCATACATGGTGCGACGTAGAATTCTCCAGTCTAATGTAAAACACAAGTAAAATTTAATTTAAGATACGAATAGATTGCATTTGTGAAAAATTCAATTCCATCGCATTATTCTACACTTAATTGTAGGAACAGAATACGTTCCTTTTTGTTTCAATACAAATGAACTTTGTAACAATACAATAAGTTTTTTTTTAATTTTAGCATATGAGATGAAAGACAATGTACAAATGTATTTATTTGCTCAGTGGGTATAAATCTAGGTCAACAAATGTTAAAAGTCAATTTTGCATCTCTAATTTTGCGACTAGTTCAAATTTGATAGCTGCAGCTTTAAAATCACGGGGTGGGGAGGGTTATTTTACCCCAAGGCTTTAATTTGTAGAGGTTAAGTAGACAATATTTCATGCATTCCATTGTAGTTTTGAACGATATTTTTTCTTTTAGATTTTTACTATAGACATTTTACAATAAGATTTTTTCATAGTAAGGGATGTTGCATTTCGCGCATGCGCATTCTGTGTACGGCACAAACTCAAAACGATAATTAAAGTTTATCATACTTAAAGGCTGTAATTCAAATGATCTCTCCCGGGAAAAAAGTAATTTTGGGATGACTTATAGTGATAAGTATTAAAACGTGAATTGATATTATAACCAATTTACAAAAATAAACGAGACTAATAATTCAATGATCAAACAGTGTATATAAAAGTCCTCTGTTTATCATAAGATGACTTTTTCATCCGTTATTATTCCTTACCGGTTTAACCGGAGGGGACTTTAAGTTTACCCTCCGTCCGTCTGTCCATCTGTCTGTCTGTCCGTACGTCCGTCTGTCTGTCCGTCCGTCCACAAAACTGGATCCCGCGATAACGCAAAAAGTACTGAAAATATTTTAATGAAACTTGATATATGGATAGATGGCAGTATGGAGATTATGCACGTCTTTTTCTTATCTACCTATGTTGAAAATTCTGGTTGCTATGGCAACTAATAGTTTGAAAATATGGCAAATTTAACACATAAACTGGATCCAGTGATAACTCAAAAAGTACTGAAAATATTTTAATGAAACTTAATATGGATAGATGGCAGTATGGTTATTATGCATGTCTTTTTCTTTTCTTCCTACGTTGAAAATTCTGGTTGCTATGGCAACTTATAGTTTGAAAATATGGCAAATTTAACACATTAACTGGATCCAGAAATAACTCAAGAAGCACGGAAAATATTTTTATGAAACTTAAAATATGGGTAGATGGCAGTCTTGAGAATATGCAATTTTTTTTTTCTTTTTCTTTTTATATTGAAATTTCTGGTTGCTATGGCAACAAATAGACTGAATTTCAAGATTTCTGATTTAAATTTTTAAGCTTTTTCACTATAAGGTCTTTATTTCTTAAGGTGTTTACTTCAAACTTAAAATATAAGTTTCTGGTTATCAACCACATCATATGTGACAAGGTTTACAACTCTAGCACAACAATGATCAGAATTAACTCCCTTGAACTTAATTTTTTTATAAAAAAATGTTGTCTTTTTTAAATAACTTCTTTATTTCTTAATGTATCTACTTCAAACTTCATATATATGTTTCTTATTATCACTTAACAAATTTGAGAAGGTTAAATGCTCTAGTAAGACAATTTTCAGAATCATGGCCCCCTTGAACTGGAATTCTTTTTTCGAGAAATTGGTATTTTTTACTCCAACTTCTTCATTCCTTTAAACTTAAAGTAAATCTCACATCATATATGACAATGTTCATAAATCTAGCATCTTTATTTCAAGAGTTATCTTCTCTTTAAGAATTTTGCATTAAAATATGTTATATTTTGGTAACAGGGATGTTTGAAAAAATAACTTTAGAGTCTCATTCAGTCTGTCTGTCTGTATGTCTGTCTGTCTGTCTGTCTGTCTGTTCATAAAAACTGTTTCCTGAGATCACTTTTAAAGATTTTTTCCAACAAATTTATTTAAAAAAGAGAAAAGTTGAAACATTAGTTATTCTTATTCATCCTGAGAAAATTGGACCTTTTGATTATCTGTTGTATTAACATAATTTCCTTACTAGGCAGGAAAACTTAACACATTACATTGTACTGTGATATTGACAAACTTAGAAATCAAAAGATTTAAGTTCATTCATGTCATTCATTTACTGGTAAAATTGAATGGCCAATGGCCCATCAGAATGTCGCCGGGGTTCTAACCGGTAGGGGACTTATGGATTGCTTGCAATACTATAATTGCTTGTTTACATTGAAACAGCAGGGTGTTAAGGATAAAATATTATTACCACTGTATAACATAACGTTACACAATTTGTCTTTGAATTAGTAGAATGGCAATGCGGTAAGTTTCAAACAGATTGACACGTGGCAGGCTGTTAGTTTTCAGCTAGTTTACAATGTCTTTCAACCGGAACGTTAATTATAGTACCATGACATTGTTATTCACGTAAAATTATAAAAATCGTACTTAAAGTTATCTTTACATATACCAATCTCATAAATGTTTATGAATTTTGTGAAGTGACAAATAGTGTAAGGTGCATTTGCATCTGTTACGAGGAACCGGATAAACCCATCTTAAATTTACAAGATTTAAAAAAATATTTGAATGTTAATGTGACTTAAAATCTTCGGTTTAGCATCACAGTAACATCAGATAAAGGTAAAAATCAGGTAAACTTGAAACAAAAAAAATCATTATCACGAGTTCTGATTTTTTAGAATTATAATTAACCTCAAGTTTATAAGTTATTATAATTTATTTCTATACTTAACTATTCTAACAACAATTCAGTTGACCTCTTCTATTTTCTATTTGTATTTCCACATTTTTTACAAGAATTACGTCAATGTCAGGTCCTTGATCGTAAACAGCTACAAAGCTATAAAGGCATCTTTTTTGTTTAATTTTCTACTTTCTTCCTTAAACTAACTTGGAATAATCATGAATTTCTATTTCTATGCTCTTTTGTCCCTACGCAGATCGCGCATGAGCGAGAAAATACTACTTCCGGTCGATTATTCATTGCAACGGTGCGCGTCGTAAAAAGGTCTATATATATTCATATAATAGTGAAAAACCATGACCCCTTGAATGGGATCAACTTTGACCACAGGGCTATAATTTGAACAATCCTGACAATTCTATATATAAATAAAAAACAATGGCTAAAATTTGAACAGCCTTGGTAGAGGCACACAAGACAATGTTTCTATCGCTAAATGTTAGGTGTAACTTAGAAGAAGAAGAAGATCATTTTTACGTTATACATGTAAGTATACCTTTAAGCCCCGGGACAGGGTCAATGTTGACCACAGGACTACAATTGGAACAATCTTTTTGGGGTCAACAAGACAATGTTACATACCTATTATTTTAGCTCTACCACTAATATTTGCAAGAGAATACTTTTTGTGTCTAAATAGAAATATCATGACCTCCGTAGGGACCAATTTTGATCACAGGGTTGGCGGTTTGAACACTCTTGTTAGGGGTCTACAAGGCAAACACGCACACGCACACGCACACGCACACACACACACACACACACACTTGCTTATCAAGTTTCAGAAGCTACTTGTAAAATATTGAGATTGTCTGTCCTTATTACTTCAGTCAATTAAATGGATTTAAAACTAAAACATAACTTTCAAATAAAAGCTCGGGCTCCAAAAAAGTTATTCTGGACATATTTGAACATATAGTGTTTTATATTTTTATGGACAAAATTTACCTCTGAATTGCCATTGCAGTGTTGTTGCGGTTTGGCAATCAAATCCAATTTTTGCATAAAATGAAGTATTTCAGTTTTGTGTTTTGCGAATTGTGTGTCTGAATTCCAAACTGCGTCTAAAATATACATTATGTAGATCTGTTATAATACTCACTCAAACAAAACAGAAATGTCAACAAGAGTCTTTTGTTTAGTTTTACGTCTTAGAAATAAGCTTCCATTTAAAATCTGATGCCAATCATTGAATTTTATAGATATAATGCAATGAATAAATAAGTAAAATGTTAAATCAACCTATGTGAAAAGCATTAAATTTCATATTGCAACAATGCTTTTTTTTTACTGCTCAAGAAAAAAATGATTTTAAAAATCATGTATGTAATATATGACCTATTAAATCCTTTTTAAGTATAGCAGTATCGTCAAATGAATGCCACATTTTATAGAGCTGTACATCCTTCTGACAGAACTTTTTCGCAGAAATCAAACATTTCATGGCATCAACTAGCCATTGTGGTTTTAATAAAATGTAGTCCTTCAAGTTTTCATCGCTAAAATTGCAAACACAATTGTAAGATAATTTAGATACAAACAGATTACTTTAGCTAATTTTAAGGGTATTGTTTGCTGTGGTATATACAAATTAATTGAATTTTCAGCGAAAAACGTATAGAAATGACATATAAAATTGACTTTACATGTTTGTACGTTTGAATCCAGTTTTAATTAGTTTAAAAAACAGTAATATTTGGTAAATGTCATGACGATATAAAGTTACAATTCAACATATTTAAAGTCTGACTTCCAGTATCAAATATTTTGGTCGTTACAGTCATGGATAATAACTTTTGTTAATATGTAGAAAATGAAGAGTACCTAAAGTATAATATCAAGCCTGTCTCATGATGAAACCTCAGAAATAAATCAAGCATTTTTGAACTAAGAAGAGACAAAGGGTGTCCTTCATTGACCTCCATGAGAGTTTTCCTTTCCAATATCTTAAATCAAACAAAATAAATAAAATATGATGATGTACAATTATACAATGTTTGATGAAATGCTAAATTTACAGTTTTTATGTTAGAATAATATATATTATGCAGTTCTAGCTTTGGTGCTTTATTTTATGTTTGAACGCTAAACTGATGCAAGATAACTTATTGGTTAAATGCATAATTAAAAAAAAACAATTTATTTTATGCCTTATTGTAGTTTAAAAACAAAAACTTAACTGAATTTTATTAATGACGAACGAATCGTTTTATTAATAACCATAACTTTGGTTATTGATTTGATCATGTCATGTTGGATATGACAAGAAGAGACTGATAAAAACTGCAAAAGATGCATTTCAAAACATGCATAATCATTATTTACAGCTAAAAATCTATCAAAGTGGAAGTAGTATAAGGTTATACAGAAAACTACATACTTCTTTAAATAAAATGTTGATTTTCAAGTGGTGCATCCTTTGTATTGAAATTCGAAAAGAAAATGACAAACAGACTACGAACTATATCAGACTTGCTTAGATTTTTTTTAAATTAAAAAAAATTATAAAATAAAGACTCATTACCGGAAGTCCACTTTCTCTAAAACTCATTATCGCTTTTTCGAGTAAAATCCATCTCACAGGATATTGGTCATCCCAATTACTTTGTGCTTTGGAAAGTTCTACAATCCTCCTTTTAAGAACTTCAACATTTGGGTCTTTAATTGCGTTATCTATTGAAATGTCCTTAGTCGTCAAGTGCTCATATAATTCTTCAAATTCCGTTAACATTTTTCTCACGTCAGAAAATATTTTTTCGGATTGATTTTGCCTTTCCTTTCGTAAACAATATATGGAGTATTAACAAAAGTATTACAAACAGAAGCATATAATTTTAATATTTCAAATTTATGTAGTAAAAAGACAAGAACTGATATTTTACATTGACCACCTTTATCAAATAAACATACGCTTATCAAATTTTTTTAACATATAGTACACACATTCCAAAATCGTTTTCCATAAATACGGTTAAAACTATCACAAATTTTGCCAGAACTAGTTTGGCCATACTCTTAACATATTCTTAATGATACAATTCATACATGACGGATATTAAGTTCCACGCGTGGTTTAACTAAAACTGATGTGAGGAACATTTTTCACATTGATTTTTTAAAACCATTGTTTCATGGTAATAACACTGAAGTAACCCATTTTAAAATGTATTTCAAATATAAACTGATTCGCTTGCAATTCTGAAAATGACATCTCAATCTATATGAAGATTTATATCGTATCGCTTCTTGTAAGATTTGATTTGATGAAAATGTTTGCCTTAAAAGTGTAATGCCTCATGACATCAGACTTTAAAATAATAAAAGCATACACAAGATGAACTGAACATTTTTGCACTTATTTATATACTTTTACTATGCCAGTTAACAAATGCATGTTATTAATGAACTATCAAGCAAAGTACTGTTATTAAAAAATTTAATTATAAATACCTCGGCCAGTTTATCGGCAAATGTCCCAACCAAAATGACTGGTGGTTCTTTAGAAATTTTCGATGGACAGTATGTATGTATCGAGTTCAGCCAAAACTTTACGAATTCTGAAAAAAACATAAACATTTAAAAAAACTATCTATATAAAGAATTATATTCTTTAATTTGTAGCAATTAAACTATTGACAATTTTGATTTCAGAAATTGACAATTCTAACCGGGTAAAAAGGGAATAGATTCCAATAAACAGTAGGTTGCTTCAATTGTTTTTGTACTCTTTTCTTAAAGTCATGTATGTAAAAATGTTCGTATGTGACGAATAAAATATTTTTTCACAAACCTGATATTTTGTATTGTTTTTCTCCGCCCGTGTCAATAAAACAGTCATCTTCAACGAAACTGTCAACATGCTTAGACAGGTCAATGACCAGGAGATATACTGCTCTTCTTGATAGAAATATTTGATGAGTTCCATAGTAGATATGCTGACCAGCAAAGTCCCAAACAGACAGGTCTGCGGTATCTTCGGTCACATTTGTCTCATGCATGCTTCCTATTTGTGTTTCTTGAATCAGTGTCTATAAAGAAACATACATCATTATACAAATGAGAAAGGTGAAGGGTGAAATTACATGTATGTCCATGGAAAATAAATGTACATGTATTAACTTAAGGTATATTTTTCTCTGTTTTAGTGTCACATCACTGTGACTAGTGACGTGTGGAGGCCGTTAAGTGTCGGCCTGTATCAACATGTTATATTTTCAATCCCTTAAGATCGTTTAGCACGGCATTATTACTATCTATATTTTCCCTTAAACGGCAAAACTCAAAATGTTGTAGACTCGGTTTGATTGAGCCTGTCAATGGACGGTAGTGGTCACTCTAAGTACCGTCCTCCCCTTCCTAGAATAACACGTTTCATGTAAAAAAAATGTAGAAGCATTATGGTAAGAGTATAACAAGGTTCCGTTCAAAAACCTTCATATATTATGTCAAGAAATATTCCAGACAATAAAAGTCCATTATACATATTTTTGCTATTTACTACAGTCTAGTGTTTTCGTTTCTTTGCTTTTATTATATAAATATTCTTGTACGTGAAGGTTATGCGAGAATTTAGTTGGCAAGAACTTTTGTATGGGTTGAATAAGTTATTGTTAAATGTAGGTAAAAGCATTTTGAAATGGTAAATATAATAAGGACATAATTATGTCAAGTTTCATAAAAATATTTCCAGTACTTTTTGAGTTATCACTGGATTCAGTTTATGTGTAAAATTTGCCATATTTTCAGTCTATGTGTTGCCATAGCAACCAGAATTTTCAACATAGGAAGAAAAAAAAAGACGTGCATAAACTCAAGACTGCCATCTACCCATATGTCAAGTTTCATAAAAATATTTCCAGTACTTTTTGCGTTATAACTGGATCCAGTTTATGTGTAAAATTTGCCATATTTTCAGCCTATTTGTTGCCATAGCAACTAGAATTTTCAACATAGGAAGACAAGAAAAAGACGTGCATAATCTCAAGACTGTCATCTACCCATTTGTCAAGTTTCATAAAAATATTTCCAGTACTTTTTGCGTTAACACTGGATCCAGTTTATGTGTAAAATTTGCCATATTTTCAGCCTATTTGTTGCCATAGCAACCAGAATTTTTAACATAGGAAGAAAAGAAAAGGACGTACATAATCGCCTTACTGCCATCTATCCATATACCAAGTTTCATAAAAATATTTTCAGTACTTATTAGTTATCGCGGGATCCAGTTTTGTGGACGGACGGACTGACGGACTGACGGACTGACAGACAGACGGACAGACGGACGGAGGGTAAACCTAAAGTCCCCTCCGGTAAACCGGTAGGGGACTAATAAACTATTATAAGAGGGCCAGAATTATGACTAAATCATTGAGCCAAAAAATGCTTTGATTACATTGAAACATTTTTTGTGCTAAAATGATTGCTAATTGATGACTACATACGACTCAAGGTAATTTTATCTACTGAGTTTTAGCGCCTTCTAAAAATGAAAACTATTTAACAATATTTTTTATGATATATTAAAACAAGACAAACATATAAACTATTTAAAAGTACCATTAACTCAAGTTTTTTCTTGGCCTCTTCCCGGTCAAACTCAGGACTAAAGTTTTTTTCTTCGGATCTCGTGCCGTTATTCTCATATTTTGTGACGGTTTCATTCACCTCTCTTTTCCCGTCTTGCGTTAAAAAATCATCATGTAGCATAAATGTTAGATTTAAAACACAAAAATACATCGCAGAGAAAAAGAGTTTTAAAACAAATAGTAGTTTAATGTTTCGGTTTTGAGATTACGAAATGTAAGAATTTCTAAACAATTATTAGTTTAATGTTGATTTTATCAAAACGTACATTTTTAGTTCTTGTATTGCTTTTAACAAAATTTGTTAAAAAAGAGTGAATTTAATGTCAATGATGATGTAACGTGTTAAACGATAAACATACCATCGACTCGAGTTCTAGTATACAATAGTTCTTCTTGCAGGTTTTGTGTCGTTTCTGCTTCATTTTGATGCGACTGCAATGTATCTTCATTGCTTTTCATGTGTTTTTCCTTAGACCATTTCATCAATTCCGACACAATATGGCTGTTATGATTTCTGTCAGAATAACCTTGTTGATAATTGAAAACTTTGAATTTTAGTCATAAGATCAAGATTTAACAAGTAATTATCATAGTATTGCAAGCAATCCGTAAGTACCCTACCGGTTAGAAACCCAGCAATATTCTGATGGGCCATTGGTCATTCCATTCAGTTATACCATTGAATGAATGAATGAATGAATGAATGAATGACATCAATGAACTTAAATATTTTGAGTTGTAAGTTTGTCTTTATCATAGTAATGTCTTAACTTTCCCTGTCTAGTAAGAAAATTATAATTATACAACAGATAATCAAAAGGTCCAATTTTCTCAGGATGAATAAGTATAACTTATATTTCAACTTTTTTCTATTTTAATTTGTTGGAAAATTCTTTGTGAAAAAAGTGATATGAAACAGTTTAATAAACAGACAGACAAACCAGGCTGAAAGAGACTCCAAAGTTAATTTTTAAACATCCCTGTTACTAAAATATAACATTTTTTAAAGCAAAATTCTTAAAAAGGAGAAAACTCTTGAAATAAAGATGCTTTATTTATGAACATTGTCAAACATGATATGTGTGTAACAAAGAACAATTATTTTAAGTTTAAAGATACCATTTATAGTCACAAAGTAAAAAAAAACAAATTTCAAATACACCATTGACATGTATAGTAACAAAGATGAAAAGATATAATGTATGTGTTGATAATGAATGAATGTTTATTTTAAAGAAAATCCATAAAGGAACAAAAAAAAAGTGAAAGATGAATAAGAAAAAATCAAAGTTTAAGGAGGAGATAATTCTGGAAATATTGATTCTAGATTTAAAAATCTTGTCATATTATCATGATGTGGGAGTTTGAAGTAAATCCTATAAGTAATAAAGACGTTGGAGTAAAAATACTAATTTCTCGAAAAAAGTTCAAGGGGGACATAATTCTGGAAATAGTTTTGCTGGAGTATTGAGCCTTCTCACAAATGTTGAGAGTTAATAAGAAACATATATATGCAGTCTGAAGTAAATACATAAAAAATAAAGAAGTTAATAAAACAAGAAACATTTTTTTCATGAAAATTCTTAGTTCAAGAGAGGTTATTCTGAAAATTGTTGTGCTAGAGTTAAAAATCTTGTCATATATGATGTTGTTGATGACCAGAAACTTTAAAGTTTGAAATAAATAACTTATAGTGAAAAAGCGTAAAAAACTAGAATAAGAAATCTTGAAATTCAGTCTATTTGTTGCCATAGAAACCAATATTTTCAATAAAGGAACAAAAGAAAGATATTAATAATATCCAAACTGCCATCTAACTCTTTTTCAAGTTTCATAAAAATATTTTCAGTATTTCCAGTGCAAGTAAGACATCTAGACCCCTTGACTTCTCGACCCCTTAGGATATTAAGATGACATCTAGACCCCTTGACTCTTAGATCCCTTGTAAGATGACTTTTCGACCCCTACTGACTAAGACATTTCGACCCCTGTTTTAAATGCTGGACTTAAAAGAACCGTAAATATATTTTGAAAATAATGTAGGACTTATATATAATCTTTAAGATTTTTGTTTAAATTTATTTGTTTTTCTGAAATATCAGTTGCAAAATTTACATTTTTTTAAAATCTAATTTTGGTGATTAATAAACAAATCACAGTTTTCATTTGTTTAATTACGGACTAAAATCGGATAAAAGTCCCGTGGTTTAATGTTATGGTGCTAATTTATAATTTCGTCATTAGCGCATTAAGTAACAATTATTTATAAGATATATAACATCGCAAGTTACAAATTATCTTTGATGTTATAGAAAGCCTTTGCTAATTATTTACACACATTCTTTAATAAAATTATTTACTAAAATTTGTGAAGATATACATAAAAACGAGTATTCACAACACCCTAGTTTTATTAACATTAAGCGTGTTTCCTATTAATATTGCCTGAATTGAAGGAATATTATAACAGACCTTTTTTGTGTATATATTTGTCATAATCATATTAATTTATTAAATGATAATTTATTAAATGATTATTTATTAAATGATAATGTCCGTTTTGTGTATTGCGTGCAAGGAGATTGTTCGTCCTTTACAACATGCCGTTACATGTGATATTTGTGAGAAGGTGCAACACAGAACCTGCAACACTAGTGAGTAATGTTTCATTTTTCCATTTACATATAATTCATACGAAAGTCGTATCAATAATAACTAAAAATTTGTAAACGTTATTGTTTTGTAAGACATAATAATGTTACATTGGCAATGAACTAAATGAAAATCAATTGAGTGTAATAGTCTACGGAAATGTAATTATTGACTGCGTAATTATTTACGGAAGCTGACCCCCCATATTTATCAAAATAAAATAAAAATCAGTACTTTTAGATAAATGATATAGTTGAAGATATATTAATTGACTTGGTCTGTCAGATATTTACAAAAAATGTATATGACTCACTACTAAAACAATTAAAATTCGTAACGGTGAAAATTATAATCAGCGGTTAAACTGTATCCAATAAAAATAATTAAATAATAAGGATTTATTTTTGATACACATTTAATCACTTTCAAAGATATTTTGACCAAAAATAAAAATGAAAATGACTTTGATAAATGATCATCATACATCTCCCGTGTGCTGGTTTAATGTCATACATGTAAATGTTTAATCAGTGACACGTGATAGGATAAACATTGGCGAATGCCGTTTATTAATCAAATTATCGGTCATACATGTATGTGTTTATTCAGTGACACGTAATTGGATTAACATCGGCGCTGACCAATACTAATCCGATTATCGCTCATTAGAAAGGTATATACATGTATTATCAATAAACGTAACTTTATTTTTTTAATTTTGTTATAAGATGAAAAATTTGTATTTTGCCGGTATCAGTAGAATCGATTATTACATGGCACGTAAACGTTTAAGCGTTGTACAGTTCAGTTGTAGTATTTGCAGTGACGCTCCTTCAGATCAAGCAACACCTGATCATGACAATTCCGTTGATCCAGCAGACAAGGAAATGTATAATTGAAAAAAAAAGATTATCAATAAGAAATACAAAAATACAGTTTCAAAAAGTGTATATATTGTAAATATTGTAGTTATTACATACATGTATATAAAGAGAGTGATAGTGTCTGCGTATTCTATTTATTGTTATTTCATTGTAACGTGTGTACATGCATATTTATTTGTGTTACTGTTTTTGTAGATAATTTACATAAATTATAAATAAACGGCTGAAAATGTTCTAAGCTAGTCATTACTTTGTTTTTTTATTTTAAAAAAGCACGGTCTTTCCAAATATAACAATACATTAATTAAGGGGTCGAAATGTCATGTATATTTAAGGGGTCTAAGTGTCTTAGGGGTCTAAGTGCCAGGGGTCAAGATGTCTAAGAGGTCGAGGTGTCAAGGGGTCGAGGTGTCAAGGGGTCGAGATGTCATAGACTCTTACCAGTTATTACTGGATCCAGTTAATGTGTTAAATTAGCCATATTTTCTGTCTATTTCTTGCCATAGCATTAAGAATTTTCAACTTTAGAAGAAAAGAAAAAAGACGTACATAATTTCCATACTGCTATTTATCCATATATCCAGTTTCATAAATTAAAATATTTTCAGTAATTTTGCGTAATCGCGGGATCCAGTTTTGTGGACAGACGGACTGACAGCCGAAAGTTCTAACGGGACAGTGATAGTGTGGCTACTCTATTGTTCTCTCTTTTGTTCGTTTAAATCACACAAAAGAAAATAGCCACATGAAAGCTTTACGGAATGAATGACATCAAAGGGTAGGAACAGTTACCTATTGTCCCTCTAGCCACATAATTACTGTCCCTTGAGAGCGGACGGACAGACGGACAGAAGGTTAACCTATAGTCCCATATGGGGACTACTAAATTCTAAAATCAAGTTGTTTTAAAGGATAACTAGAAATGTGTCCATAGGACACCGGTGCCCCCAAACTCCACTGTTGTGTCAATCTTATGACTTTAGGTCAAATATTTTTAGGCTATATGTGCCACAAGTTGAAAACTAAAAATCGTTTATTAATTAAAGGGCAAGAACTTTACAAATACTGAATAAATCCACAAGCAAACACCGAGGTGCATGGCTGACCAACATTCTTGTAAACTTTCAGACCTACAGGTAAAATCTTTTTTGAGTTATACATGAACAAGTTGAAAATTGCAAATTTATACTAAGTCAAGGGCAATAACTCAAAAAACCCACATGCAAAACCCCAGGTGCAACCTTCACAGTGATGTTGATCATTATTCCTGCAAAGTTGGTTGATTCTAACTCAAGCACTCGAGTAACATATAACAAAACATAATGGAACGATTTTCACTAGGTCAAGGGCAATAAATCTGACAAAACAGAATAAATCCACAAGTAAAACTGCAAATGCACAACTTCACATGCTGAGCAACATTCCTTTAAAGTTTCATGACACTAGATCAAATACTTTTGGAGTTACGTGCGACACAAATTAAAAATCGTAAATTTCTACGCAAACAAGGGCAACTAGAACTATCGATGAATGCGATTTATGTAAATTTAAAGACTTAAAAACTTTTAATAACTTTGTAAAAATGCAAAACAGAGTTATGAAACTTGCCCTATATATCTAACTTGTGTCACCTCGTATATCTTTTAAGTTTCAAGCTAATACATGTGCTAGTTTCAGAAATATTCAAATACATGTTAAAATTAAAGAACATTTTCTTAGTCAATATTTGACCTTCAAGTGTGACCTTACACCGGCACAAAGGTTACATAGGTTCTCCACAAACAGTTGTTGAGGTGAACATTTGAGTTAAGTTTGAAGAAAATTCTTTCATGAGTACAGGATTTATAGAGCGGACACAATATATTGTCTAATATTTGATTGTTTGTAAATTTGAATACTTAAAAAGGGGCATAACTTTATCAAAATGTAAAACATAGTCATGAAACTTGACCTGCATAATGTTTATCTTACTTGTGACACTTCATATATTTTAAGTTTCAAGCAAATACCTTTTCTAGTTTCAGAAATATTCAAATACATGTTAGAATTTAAGAATATTTTCTAAGTCAATTTTTGTCCTTCAAGTGTTACCTTGACCTAAAGCCGGCAAAAGGGTTACAAAGGTTCTGCACGTTACCTTGTTGAGGTGAAAATTTGAGCCAAGATTGAAGAAAATCTTTCTGTAAGTGTGGGACTTACAGAGCGGACACGACATAGTGTCTTATATTTGATTGTTTGATATCTGACCTTCAATTGTGACATTGACCTTGAGCTGACACATGGGCACCATGGGTTCTGCACACCCCTGTTGTTGAGGTAAACATTTGAGCCAAGTTTGAAGAAAATCCTTCAATTGGTATAGGATTTATAGAGCGGACACGATAATGGAGACGGACGGACGGACCGACCGTCGCAACAAAGCGAATCCATTATACCCCCACATGATTTGGTGTGGGTTTAGTAAATACTAAACATATCCACATAAAAAATACTACTGTGCACAACTACACATACTGATCAACATTCCTGTAAAGTTTCATGACTCTAGGTCAAATACTTTTTGGGCTACATGTGACACAAGTTTAAAATTGCAAATATTTACTTAATCAAGGGCAATAAATCTAACAGAATAAATCCACAAGCGAAACCCCAGGTGCACAACTTCACATGCTGAGCAACATTCCTGTAAGGTTTCAAAACTGTAGGTCAAACACTTTTTGAGATATGTGCGACACAAGTTGAAAATTGCAAAGTTTTACTAAGACAAGGGAAATAACTCAAAAATACTAAATATATCCGCACGAAAATACCCAGGTGCACAACGACACATGCTGATCAACATTTCTATAAAGTTTCATGACACTAGGTCAAATTCTTTTTGAGCTACGTGCGACACAAAAGAGAACGGACGGACGGACGAAAGGAAGGAAGGTAAGTTGACTTACTTTTGTACTTTCTTACTTCCCTTCGTACGTTGTTACATAGTTACTTATTGCCTTTCTTCCTTACTTACTAACCTACTTATTAACCATTGGAATAAACTTTAATTTTTACCACTTACCATCAGTCATAGATAACCAATTGCCGTCTTTTAATGTGACTTTGCATTTTCTCACATGAACATCAATGCTATTCGTACTTTCATTGTCGGACGAAAGATCAACATTTTCACCAAAAAGTCTTTTTGTAAGGGTTGTTTTACCAACTCCCATATGCCCTACTACCATAACTCGTATGGTATAAGCACGTGTTGTTCCGGTTTCCAAAGCTTCCTTATATAGTTCTATTGATTCATCATCCATCTTGAGAACTTCCACAGGGAAGGATTCTACGGAGGCTATTGAAAAGTTTTATCAGAGCTATAACACAAATGCTCAGTGTGTGATAAACTTGATTTAAAAAAGGTGATAAACTTGATTTAAAAAAAAAAAATTCAATGATACAGCCGCTTTCAGCAAACTAATAATTTGTTAGCATTAAAATTTTGAAATTGATACTAAAGTGTCAATTACTAATGATAAACTTCTTAACTGCTATTTACTGTCAAGCGCTTTAGCAATGGACGGTTTTATCTATTAAGCCCCCTCCTTTTTACTTATGTAATACAGCACAACAACATCATGCCTTGTCAAAAACTGTAACGAAGACACAACAAATTAATACCATATTTGTCAATTTTTCCAAATGATAATCAAAACGGATTTTTCGTCTTTTAGATTTTAAAAGGGTATTACACTACCTAGTAATCTAGGAAGATCTTCCAACTTTATTTTAGGAAGAGCGTATGGTACATCACTCCATTTCTTGTAGGTACTCACACCATGTGTTCGCAAATTCCTAAACTTGAAATTGATGATTTTTAGGATCATGCAGTCTAAGCCATCTCTCAGTCCAATTATACCCCAGTCTATTGGGCATTTCTTGCAAAACATCTTGTATTTTATGTGTAGGCCGTCATATGTTGTCGGATTATTGTGTTCTTTTCTTGTAATATTGTCAGCGAAATCTTTATCAATTACGATATGATCATATCCAAGCTGCCTTACATCAGAGAGATAACAAGCCAAAGTGTTGCATCTTCCACACAAAATTGCGTAATCTACATCAGACTTCATTTTCTTTTTCAACTTCTCAACTTCTGCTTTAAATCTGTATTTATGTATTTCTTCACTTTGGAAGGCATTAACTTTCAATTTGATGAGTTTTGGATCCAACTGTTTTACAATATTCATTGCCCTATACATCATTGCAGCTTTGTATGTATTAATCATTTCTTTCTCTACTACTTTACCACTTCCAATAGTGATTGTTGTCGCTTTTTTCTTACGAGCACGACCTGAATAAATATTTTATTGATGAAACAAATGATACATATGTCGACTGAGAGGTATGGTTTAAACTGTTTTCATATTGGTCTTTTAAAGTTTTGAATGATGTATAAAATATTTTGACATTATAGAAAACTTTAAAATATCACCGATACATATATATTTAAGACTAAACAGGCTGACACGGGTTTGTTTTAGTACAACTTGCTGATATATCAATAAAGAGGTAATAGTTTTAACCAATACAAATGTTTACGTTGAAATCTCAATTTAATTGGTCAAGTAATTTTTTTCTAGGAGAAAGTTCAATACCTTTCATTTGTATTTTTGTTATTTCATCTCCGGAATACTCGTAACTAAGAACAATATTACAATCAGGTACATCTATACCCTCATTCCCAACAGATGTACATACTAGAACTTTGAAGAATCCACTGCGAAACTTGTCAAGTATCTCGGTTTGTTGACTTTCTGTCATTCCTGTTAACAATAATGAAAATCATATAATCAGGAACAAATAACACACTGCCGTTAATATGAAAAATCAACTAGTTAGGGGTTTGGTAAGTCAAGTTAGATATGAAATGTTTTGACCACGTGTAAATGAAAATTATATTATAATTAATTATAATTATAATAATGAAATTAAAAGTTATAATATTCAACCGCTGTAGTGCTTTGCGTTAATAATAGAAAGTTCAAATTGTCATACCGTCATCTCCACCACGATTTTCCTTTCCATATAATGGACTCGCTTTTACTCCACTACTCTGGAGATCCCTGTCCAAAAATGCAGCAAGAGATCTGCAAGTTGCTCTTGCCTTCACAAAAACCATGGCCCTTGAATCGTCCCCTTTGTCATCAAGCATCTTACGTAAGGTGTCGCTCAAAATCCTCACATTTGGATTTTCTGTGTTTTTCCCTTTCACGTTTATTGTTTTCTGCACATCTGACAATTAAAATGGGTGAAATCAATGGTACCGTTATTATTTCTTTTTAGGATTTTGAAGATGAACAGTTATATTTCCCAACTATTATTGTATATCATAGATAATGGCATCATTTCCTTAATTCTTTGCATCAAAATTAAAAGTGATATTTGAGTATACTCGTGATAAATTCGTAACAACAACGATAGCTAACTATCAATCATTAAATTTAACAATAAAACGATGAACCTACTTTGCAGATTTTTGAACAGCTCCTTTTCCATCTCAGTTAGTTTGTCTTTGTTTTCCCCTTCAAGTCTGTGTTTTTCAGCCAAATACTTAATGACATCTCTCGAAAGCAAGAGTTTGTTAACCTCTAGGGCCGAGTTGTAAATCTGATCGATTTAAGAAAAAACATATTATATCATTTTTAATTACATTTGTGCTTATTGCATCTATTATACTATAGAATATGCCAGTATGAGGGTCACGATGGCCATGGATCGCTCATCTGAGATACATTGCTAGAAGCGGTCACGCTATTATAATCTAAAGTCAGTAATGAGGTCTATTAGGGTTTGTCATCTTATCAAGGCTGTATAATTATTTGAAATATCTGAAGATATCTATTACCAAATGCTGTATGACAAATATCTAAGTTCTTGGACAATAAGACATAACTCAATGAGTTTGACTCTGTAAGCACATATAAACCACCATTGCAAGAACAAGCTTGTACTCCTGTCAAGGTGATTCTACTTGCCAAATGATGAGAAAACTTTTTAACAAATGTTTACTTTATAAATCTATGTAAAGTAATTGACTCTGCACTTCATTTCACTAGTAACTATCACCGAGTGAAATTTCATTGAAATTCCTTCAATACTTATAAGTTATTCTGCGGACAAACATCATTAAAGATTACAAAGGGACATAATTCAAAAACTAAGTAATGTAGAGTTATTAATCTTTGACACTGCACTTTCCATCCCTAGTCTCTACAACTGTTTGAAATTTGAATCAGATATAAATAATAGTTTAGATGTTTTACACGGGAAAAGCATTATTTAACAGTTTCAAGTTTCATAAACGGAGCATCAAGCAAGGTAGAATAATGTGTTTTCACACTTCACGTCCTTTCACCGATATCTGTCAGTGTGTGAAGTTTATTCAAATACCATTCTCAGGACAAAGGAAGCTAATTTTAAAACTGATCAAAGTAGAGTTATGGTTCTTTTACACTTCCTACTTTGAGTTATTAAAACAGTGTGTAGCTTCAATACGATATGATTAAAACTAAGTTATAAAGAGGTATGGTTATTTCACACTGCACTTTTTTCAAGTCGTAGTTTCAATGAGGAATCACTGATAGTTTAGAAATTATACTCGAAGCATATTAATATGCCGTTATTGTAAATGAATACATTGATAAGTTTTCAGACAATTATAAAAATACCATTATATACTTAAGGACTCTTGAAATAGCACACCAGTTGACACACATGTCTCTAATTTAGACAGTTTACTACAGAAAAATATAAGTTTTACAACGATCATTATGACAAAATTACGTCGTGTGCGACTAATTGGGCTAAATAAAAACGCGGAGCTTATCTCCAGGTGTTTGTCGCTTTTTACTATGTCCAAGATCCGCCATTAAATGTGACATGGACGATAAGCCCACACACTGCCACTTTTACTTGTCACATAGTCTTCATGTTATCATCATTTGATTAAAATTTCATGAAAATAAGATTATGAAAAACTAGTTCTCAATAAGCATTCAATAACTTTTCTTAACCTTTACCCGATACAGATGCCTTGCTTGTTTTGGTCTAAGATTTGACCGAATGTTCATAAAAAGATATAGCATGTCATGGGCTTCACAAATCCGCTTATGTAAGAGACAGGCAATCCTAGCATGAATATCTACACTTACTTTATGCCAGAAATGACCTAAAAACACATATTGGTACCGTAAATATGTTAAGTTGAAATGTTGGGTTGTTAAGGTTCACATTTCCTTATTTTACTGCTACTGAAGCATTGTTAGGGAACACAAACTAACGATCTTTCAAACCAGCTAAAAATATTGTCTTGTTCTATATCTAAGGATGATAAAATGCAAATATTTTCAACCTGTTATGATGAAATTTTAAAGTAATTAATTAATTGATTTATGTACTTTCCCATTATAAGATATGTATATACACTTAATTGTTTTTTCAGAAACTTACATTCAAGTATTTTGCACAACTATTTATATCTCTGGACACATCATAGTCAACCACCTTCAAAGGTGCAGCTCTCATTACATCAACTGTCCATTTATTGTATTCTTGAGACTCTCGGTCACGTGGCTGCTTGTCCATGAGATCAATCATATCAGGTTGCATCAATGAATTGTCTAAAAATTAAAAACATGTTTGATCATATTTCTATGCTCTTTGTGTGTCACATTTATAATACTACACGTTTGTAACGTCCGTTTTCATTGGTGAATTGCGACGTTTATAATAGTTTTTTATAATACTGTTGCTGTGAATTTGTGAAGAAATCTAACTTTCTTTATAAATTCGTGATAAATATTCCTGACATGTTTTATGGCCATATTTTAATGGTTGTTTGCAATATAACTCTGGCCTTGAAGTTCGGGTTTTATTTTCAAAGCTTCGTATATATGGGACCATGTAACTAGTTAAATATCTTTATAACTAATAGTTTACACGTATCACAAATAGAACTTTTTTGTTAGACTAGAGAAAAACCTTTAAAATTTTACACAGGAAGTGTAAAGGAATTCAATAAGATCAAGTCGACTACAGTGACAATTTAGAACTTCTATAACAAGAAGTCTTTCTTGCTGTTCAAACTTTATGACAGCATTTATATTGCACATATCATTTAATATGCTGTAAAAAGTAAAAATTATTACGAAAAAAATCCTTTGAATATATAGGAGATAACATTGTGTTGTTTTCACAATCTAATAGTTAACTTCTGAAAGAGTCGTTACCTAGGACGCTTCTGTTTTTAAACTTATGCATGCAGTACGTAAAGTAAACAATATGTTCCGAAATAAAATATTATTATGCTATTTGAAGAAGCTGATAAGGAAATATACAAATATATCATTTCATGAAGGTATTTTGGAAGCATTCATGTACAAAAATAAAACGTTTATTTTTCAAAGTACAGACATACTACTATACATATGTCTAGCTTTATAAGCTGAGAACACTACGATTGCTTATAAAATTTATACCTTGCAACATATCTTCAGTTTCTTCCATTGCAGTCAATATAAAATGTTTACAAGGGTCATCTTTCTGCTTTACAAGCTGTATTGTTTCTATAAAATCATCAAAATGGCATTTTGTGGGTATAAATTAGCTATAATGCATTTACAAAACAAGTTGTAGAGTATAAAATTATTATGAGGATTGTTTATTCATATCAAACATTTCAATGATTAAGATGACATTTTAAAAATAGTCTTTGATAACATAACACTAAATTATTTGAATAAATTTTTAGGATATCCTTCCAAAGTCTAACAGGGAAGTCATTGATAACATTATGTCTTTCCAAAATTAAAATGAGATATAGATTTTATTTAGCATGATTATAAACTGTTCTTGAAATACAATTGATTCTTATCTTTTCTCTGCAAATAAATGTCATTGAAATGAATCTCATCAACGGACCATTAATAATATTTAATTACTGCCTAAACATGTTGTTCTTTGTGAGTTCATCATGTACATTCATTGTTTTCTTAAATAAAATTCATGCATAATATCTGTAATAATATTTCTTGAAGTTTGAAAATAAATAAACACATATATACCTTCATCAGGAATGCTGACATGTTTCTTTAATTCTTTAAAATTTCTTTCTACCGTTGAAATTATTCTCACGTCCAGACAAGAACATACCCTCAGAATGTAATCAACCGATTCCTGATCTGTTCGAGATTTGCCGACACCAATAGAGGCTGTCAGACCTACTACCTAAAGTTAACAAAAAGACAAACCAAGTATATTCTTTTACGCAGAAAAAGGAAAATGTTTAGACAATTAAGATAATTTGCTAAAATAACAATAAAATCTTCAATAAAGAAAAAAGAACAAATATGTAACTATTTATACTTTCATTTTAAAGTTCATTATAATTTGCAAATGTTTAAGAGGTTGAATGTACATCAGTCGACAAATTATCAAGTAACCTGTGGCATTTCTTTTTTTGTTTTGGATTTTTCCACTAGATATTTTCTCATTAGCGTACTGTAAGGACCATCTCCTCTCGTATGGTGGCATTCGTCAAGTATCAACAAGGAAAATTCTGACAGGCTTTTTATGACGTTGTCTTCTAGATTATTTACTAGAATTTGAGGTGTGAAACATAGTATGTCGTAAGTTTCTAAAAACATGTTTAACATCCTTGATTGGTCATCTTCTCCGGTTATTAAACGAGTCTGCAAAATAAACATAATTAGATAAGCTATTATTTTTATCAAACGTTTGCCAATTGACAACAGTTTAAGCAATATGCAAACCTTGACGCTAAAACGTATTTAAATAAAAGATCCCGACGTTCCAGAAAAATAAATTGATATTGAGTTAAGGTATGTGGCAGCTTAGAAAATTATTTAACATCTGTCAATGTAAGAGTCAGTATTCAGAAAAGTTGTACGGAAGAACCAGACGCATTAAATGGATATCTTAAAGATATCGATATCGCTTACCTGAAACTGTGGAAGATAAGTTTTAAACCTGTCAGACTGTTGTTTGATTAGAGCCCCAGTCCTGGCCATGAACACTACCTTCCTTTGACCTTAATAACATCATGTGTAAAATGAATCAATACATACATTGCACTTTAAAACAAGAGCTGTCACTCAAAAGTGACGAATGCCCCTGAAAATGTTTCTTAAGCATTGTAGAAAGGTATTATGAAAAGAAAAGAGAATGAAAGTAAATAATTGCTTAATATTGTTCTTGTGAAATGAAGTGCTATTTATAGCAAACTACCACTTTTGGCCATGGGTCTTGGATGCCACACATCATCTTGTTGTGGTAGACATACGTGCTAAGTTATTCTGCATAACAATGTTAAAGTTTGGAAACTGATGTGTACCTTCAAACTCTTCTTATGAGTATAAATATCTTAAAACTATTAGAGTGACATTGACATTGGAGGTACGAACATGGGTCTTACACACAATACGTTGTCTTGATATGGTAGATATTTGCGCCAAGTAATTTTAAAACTCTTAAATGCATGACAAAGTTACAGTCCGGACACGAATGTGTATTTTGAAACTTTTCTTGAGAAAATGAGTACCTCCTAACTGTAAAAGTGACCTTCGAGGTAGGGACATGGGTCTTGAAACGCGACATGTCGCCTTCGTGTGGCAGACATATATGCTACGTTGTTTAAAACTCCTTTCGTGCACAAAAATGTGCCTTAAAACTCTACTTGTGATAATATGAAACCTTCAAACCGTAAGTGTGACCTTGGCCTTTGACTATAACGGACATTGGTCTTAAATTAAACACATCACAATGATGTGTTTGACTTCTGTACCATGTAATTTTAAAATCCTCCCAGGCATGACAATACTAAAGTTTGGACACAAATGTGTACCTTCAACCTCTAAGTGAGACCTTGATATTTTAGGTAGTGATATAGGCCTTAACCGCGACACCTTGTCTCGATGTGGTAGACGCTTGTGCCAAGTTTAAAAAATCCTACAATGAACAGTTACAGTCCGGACAGGAATGTGTAAATCCTTCAAGTTATAAGTTTGACATTGACCTTGTACGAAGGGACATTGGTCTTGGACTCGACACGTCGTCTTGATGTAGAAGATATTTATGCCAAGTTTGTTTTCAAATCCTTTTCCGCATGACAAAGTTACATTCCAGACAAGAATGTGTGAACCTATTAATTCTAATTGTGATAATGTGAAAATTCACAATGAAATAGTGACCTTGACCTTTGAAGAAGCGACATGGTTTTTGGACTCGACACGTCTTTTTGATATAGCAGACATTTATGCCAAGTATTTTTCAAATTCTTTAAGGATGACAAAGTTACAGTCCGGACACGAATGTGTGTACATATTGGTTCTAATTTTGATATTGTGAAATTAAAAATGTTATTGTGACCTTGACCTTTGATGTACAGACACAATTCTTTGACGCGACACATCGTCAATGTAACAGTCCTGACACGAACACGAAATAAATGGGGGCGCACAGACAGATGGACGTACCGTTCGATTTTAATATGCTGTTCTTCTGGGGCATAAAAAACGTAAGGTATGTTCCTTAGCTATTGCTTAGAAAATGAAAAGAAACAACAAGATAAGACAAAAAAATCATTAAACAATAGAAAGAGAAAACAATGACAAGAATCATTTTCTTACCGTTCCTAGCATTTTGTAAATGCTGCTGTACGATATGCAGAGCAACCCAGGTTTTTCCAGATCCTGTTTCCGCACAAATGATTGTATTTCTTCCAAGAACTGCATTTTCTGCAAGTTCTAATTGATATTTGCGCAATTGAAATGGAGCTGTTGTGTTCGAAGCCAAAACTATAGATATAAAAAACACAAATCTGATTATTTAACATGATTATGAAACTTGAAGTGTTAACATTGTCAGCACCATTTCACCAACGACCTTAATTTGATAGAAGGACATTAACATAATAAGACTTTTTATGCTATGCATGTTCTTTTAACAGGCATTAGGATTATCATTTTATATTTTTATGTATTTTAAAGACAAAAATTAATCTAGAGGTATTTTCAGAAATATTATAATTAATTGTTATCTTCACACATATAGCAATCAATATGGTGATGATTGTATTAAATTTAGCATGTATAAGCATATGCATTTTCTCAAACATATAGCAAGACACATACCTGCAGTCTCAACACTTGTATTTTCATAATCAGACCCCAATGAATCTCCATCATCATCATCATCATCATCATATTCTTCTTCACGGTTGTTCTGTTCATCAGTATTTCCAGGTTTGCGGTTTGCTCGCCTATATATACCTATTGTTTATGCAAATTTGATAAAGATACTTTATTTTCGTATTGTTTGCTTTTAAATAATACGTAGTCACATGTACTGGTACTAAAACTAGCAATACACCATTTCAAGAACATTAGAATAGTTCAGTACTCCTTTTGAGCTGATGTCATTGTTAAATAAACCTAAAGGGTCAACATATAACAAGAATATTTATTATTTGCAAATGTTTGCTATATTCAATGCATAAAGGAGAAAACATACTGATAAATATTGCAATAATCGTACAAAATACAAGCCTATCTAACTATCCATAAAGAAGCATAAAAATTTCCTTGAAGAATGCACGCTTTATTGTAGGCGATATTGCATTTGTCTACAATTGCATATACCCAACCGGCATTTTCTTACCAACTGAAGGAGATTTTGTCACGTAAGGTTTTATATCGATCGTCTCTAAGCTGTCAATTTGGTACTCGGTTGATGACAGCGATGAGTCCTGCCTTATTGTCAGTGAGGGAGATGCTCCTAAGTCACTTGTATCCTTGAAACCGTCACCTCTGTCTAAGGATTAAATAATTAATAGTAATAAGTAATTTCAAGTGCATAACAAGCCTCGTTACCGCCCATTGGGCCTCTTGGGACGGATATTCCGGTCCGAACCGCAACATATGACAGATATTATTAATGTTGTAGCATATCATTTTGCTTTATATTTGTACGCGGTTTCCTTAATTTGATGATAAACAGAAAAACGGACATGCTAATGGACAGATAAAGCTAACAATATTGCGTTCCAATACTTGTTAACATCATTTATTATCATAATTATAATTTTTTGTTCGACGCATAATCGTTTTTTCTTGTCCAAAATTTGTGCATGTAATATAATACTGTTTGCGCATTCGTGCAATAAGAATATGTTTTTAGAATCAGAGTAAAGAAAAGTTTGTATTATGAAAATATTTCAATGTTATAAAGATAAAACAACATGTTCCAATAAAAGGCAGAAAAAAACAATATGATACTATAATTAGAAGTCAAACGTGTCAAACAAATTAAGAGATTCACAATATGAATGATCATAACCTAGCTTAGGCATAAATGACGAAGGATTTTCAATAAAATCAGGTTCCATTTCTTTCACCAAATGCTCGCATTTCTTCTTCATCAGTAAGTCTAGGAACTCATAATACCAATCCTGGGGCGATTTTCTACACTGCATTCTATCAAGGAGAATCATTGTTGAGTATATGTCGCCTTTAGTTTCATATGTTTTTAGGATAAGTTCCTCATCAGCTGCATTTATGACGCCTCTTGTCTTCAATTCTGACACAAACTCATGTGCATGTATCATTTGTTCAAGATACGGTGTAAACAAACACAATATTTTCTGAGCACGTGATGATGAAAACGCGTCATATCTATTTTGATATGACAGTAATTCCTTCAGGTAAGGATATTCTGTGAATACAAAGATAAAATGTTATGAAACATTGACAACAACTTAATTCTCAAAACGATTCAATAATAACCGAAGATTATTTTAATTTCTGTTTTATTACTGATGACTCAAAGTAAAATTATTATTATCCAGCTATCTTTACGTAATTGAATAAACCAAAGACAAAGTTGTACCTGCACTTTCAAGGGAATCAACAAATGATCTCCATTTACCAGGAGCTTTGGAAGTAAACAGTGCATCTAACAACTCTTGGGATGCCTTTACTGTCTCTCTGTCTATGTATAGATTCTTTATTCTTGCAGCATCCACTTAAATCAGAAATAAATGACATAAATATGACTATTTTAAAGAAAGAAATTTGTAAGAAATGTCTATCAAAATGAATTGTACCCGTATGTTTTACCAATTATATATATTAAATATAAATAATCTATAATTAAAACTTCAGGAAAAAACAAATGTTTATTTATTATATACTTATAAATGAAATATTGAGAAATATTGATGAAATAAAATGTGTATTTTCATTTTCCGTATTTTCACTGTAAAAATTTATTTCTCACTGCAGTGAAACATATTTTCCGTATTTTCACTGGTGTCTTGCGGGACTACTTTCTTTTAAATTCTGCCAGTACACAAAATTAAAGCGAAAGTCTTTCAAATTTTATCGCAAAAAAAAGAGAAATATGTATATAATAAACAGAAAATTCAAGTTTTTTCTATAAATACATGATTTATTTTCATCTTGTGGCATGAAAATTATCATATTTCACTCGTGGCTACCGCCACTCATGAAATATATATTTTCATACCACTCGATGAAAGTAAATCATGTATTTATAGAAAAAACTTGAATATCCTCTATGTATTTACGTGTATAAATAACAATTGTGGTTGCAATACTGTTTTGTCTTTATCGCAGTAAAATGAAGATTTTGATGTTGGAAAATATTTAAAATCGGATGTTGACATTTTGTCACTTTTATCGTATAAGTAATGCTATATTAATAGTACAGTAAACTTTACTTATAGCGAACACGGTTATAGCGAACTTCCGGTTATAGGGAACAATTTATTTTGGCCCGAATTTTGGCCTTCTTTATTTAATATAAAATATATGGTTATAGCGAACACGGTTATAAGGAATTATTGCTTATAAGGAACTCATTTCTTAGTCCCAATTTAGTTAATAGTACAGAAAATTACACTAAAATATTGGCTATTCGTAAATAGATCACGCATTTTCAACTTTCGTTTTCATTCGCACAGATTAAAACTCGGGCGAATGTACCGTTTATCTTTGTATGTACTTCAATACATCTATTCAAATGAATTTGTATAGTTTTCTATTTAGGATATCTTTAGCATGA